TTTGTTGTTACTAGAAATTAGGGGTGTTCAAATCCGGGTACTTGTTTATTTGTCCCATGTCCGACCCGAATATCTCGGGTACCCGGAACATAGGGTACCCGGATTTTTGAATGCTTGTAATTAATTTGCTCCCAAAAGGTAAAAAATTGAAAAACAATTTAGATCTACTACCCAAACTCCACACAATCGAACAACCAAGATACAAAATGACCAATTACACAAAGCTTTGATTCAATAATAATAATAAAATTTAAAATATACAAAGAATTAGAAGAAAAAAAATATATAAATAGAAATTGCATTAGCATCAAGTTATCAAGGAACTAGATCTTACATAGTTACATATGCGAATAAATAAATAAATTTATAAACAAAAAAAATATTTGGTACAGTTGGGCGAAGTAGCAGCGACCACCAACATAGTTATTATTGTTGGGCAAAGTAGAAGCGACCACCACCGACGACGGAGTTACTTAAAGCAGCAGCGAGCCTCAGACGGAGGTGGCAAAGCGGCGGTCGGAGTGGGGATTGCATATCGAAAGTGAGGGAATTGAATGAGAAGGCGATTGAGAATCGATTTTGAGAGTTTGTGAATAGACAAGTAGAAGAAGCAATGGAAGTAGGAAGAACATAGAAGGAAATCAAGGATGAAGAAGGAAGGAAGAGAGAGAGAGAGAGGAACAACGTAAGAGGAAGAGAGAGAGAAACGGCGGAGAGAGAGAGAGAGGAAGAGAGAGATAAAATGATAACCCTAATATTGAAAATGGGCTGGGCTTAGTTTACCAAGTTTAGTAGCGTTTTTTTTTTTAATTTTAATTTGGTATTCGGGTACCCGTTTCTGAAAAAATGTGCCCCATGTCCCGACCCGGATAGAAGACAATTTTCCCAGGTCGGGCACCCGACTCGAAAAAACTGTTTTTTCTCCTAAATTTCCCATCGGGTATTTACCGGGTCATCGGGAATTGGGTCTGGACAATCGGGTCGGGTTTTTTTTGAACACCCCTACTAGAAATGATATATGCGATGTGTTTTGCTTGCCTTTGAGTGATATTTGCGTTCCTGAACTTAATAAAAATTCTGAGGATGAAAGTGTAGATAAACGTATCATTCAGGCATGGAGATCTGATTATGGTCTTTTTGGTAAGCAACCTCTTCATTTGTCATAATTGGAGTCTCGGATGGTTGATTTGGTTGATGGAGGGGAAGAATTTAAGAGGTTTTTTGTTCTTCAAGCTATGTCTAGCTTTTTAGCTCCTACTACTAATAGGACTGTTTCATTAAAGTTGCTAAAAGCTGTTGAAAAAGTTGATTAAATTAAAACTTTCGATTGGTGTTCATATGTTTTGAAAAAATTAAAGAAGGCTGTTCAGAAGTATAAGGATGATGAAACTGCTCAAAATGTTAGTGGTTGTTTGTTGGCTTTGCAAATTATGTATTTTCATCGTCTACATTTTCAAGGTGAAAAGGAAAGTAGTACTCTTCCTTTGATTCAACATTGGACAGATGTAAAGATTAAGAAGCGGATTAAGTTAGAGATCAAAGCTGGTGGTTATGGGCAGGGACCGTTGGATACTTTTACATATCCTGTGTCACAGCTTAATTTTAGGGAAACTGTTTTTAAGCCAGCTCCTACTTTGGGTTATGATAAGGGTGCTTCTACAAGTGGTGCCACTGGCCGCATTGTTGCATTTGAGCTTCCAAAAGGTATTATGACTGATGAAGAAATTAAAGAAATTTCAACTGATGTAAGTGTTCTGTTTTCTTATATGTTTAGTTATTATTACTTTATGGCTTAAAAGTTACCCTTTTGTGTACAAAAGTTACCCTTTATTTGCACCAAAGTTACCCTTTATATGCATTAAAAATATCCTAAATATTAAGTTAAAAGGGTAACTTTATGCATATAAAAGGATAACTTTATGCATTTAAAAGGGTCACTTTAAGCATATATTTTGGATTTTTATTTATTTTATTATTTTTATTTGTAACATTTATTTATTTTTCTTTGTTTATATGTTTGTAGGTTGTTCATGAAACATTTCTTTTGTTTAAAAGAAATATGGATGTTTTATTATTTGTTCAATCAACTGGTTTTCAAACCTTGAATGATCTGATTACTTCTCGCGGAAGTGTTTCATTATCTTATGGTGATTCTGTTTCACTTTCTCAAACTGAACAGCTACTCTCTGATCCTCATTATCTGAAGATTTTAGATGGTTTAATTGATGAGTGTAATAAAATGAAGTATGTACATGATTTGTTTCGCGGTTTTTATGAACCTATAGAAGGTAATAAAGATGTTGTTCCTGAAAAAGAACCTGCACAAGGTTTCAATGAAAATATTCCTAAGGACGATGACAATGGTCATGGAAAAATAGTTAATGAAGGTCTTAATGGTTCTGGACCTTCTGCTATCATTCCTGGTCCTGCTGAAAATATTCCTGTTGGGCATATTGATCAAAATGAACCTGCTCGACGTATCATCAGAGCAAATAAATCTCTATGCTCTTTGGATTGTGGACCTGTAGGTGTGCAGGTGCCTTTTGTAACTCTGTTTTTGAAGAGCAATGCTCGTATTTTCAGGAATTTGCCTCAGTTACATTTGGAAATTCTCGATTATTGTTTGCTGAAGGATGTTTCAATGAATAGGAAGTTATGTGTCATTTTTTATGATAATTATTTTTTTATCTGTTTTTTTTCTTATATATATATATATATATATATATATATATATATATATATTAATGCTGATCTTATTTTTTTATTGTTTGAGTGAAATCCTTGTTACTTTTGGAATGAACTTTTTAATTCCAAGAGAAGACATGGTGTCCCTTGTTGCTCCACTCAGGATTTGATGGTGCATTATTGATTGCTACTGCCTGTATTTGAATGAGAAAGCATGTTTTGAGGCTACTGGTCCTCGAAAATTCTTTTTTGGTGTTAGGTAGCGTGTAAGTTATTTCATTCTTTTTTTATATATATTTTAACACATTTACTTTATATATATATAATTGAGATCTTATACTTTAATAGTTTTCATTCTTGCATGTTTGTGACAATATTGGCAAAGGTAACATTTCTAGTGATGTTAAGGATTTGCACGATCTATGGGAAGGTTGGGTTAGCTATGAGAATCCAAAATGTGATATAATGGATGCTGATCTGGTATATTTATGCTAAACTTAATGTCATAAATTTTAAAGAGTTCTGTTTATGATATGCTCTGTCTAAATCTCTTTTAATTTTGCTGTTTCAGATCTATTTTCCTATTCTTATTGAGAATCACTACATTTTGTATCTTATTGATCATACAAAAGAGTTGGTATATTATCTTGACAACATTATCTGGAGTGATTTTGCTCTTGTTTATACAAAAGAATTGTGACAAACATGGTATGTTTGTGTTTATTTTTTGTTATGTTTCTGTTGATTCATTGTTTCCATTTTCACTTTTTTGATTTTAATGTATTCTAAACTTTTATATTTTATGTCAGTGTTTTCAAATGGTTGCTTTTCTTGGCAAAAGAAATCATCCAAAGAGTTCTCAGCTACCTTCTTATGGTTTTGAAGTTGTTGAGTTGGAATGGAGAAAAGAAAAAGTTGACAATTTGGACTGTGGGGTCTTTGTCATGTATCATATGCTCCATTTTGTTGGCGAATCGTTCAAATTAAATGAACTCAAAACAGTAATTATCTATATAGTTTCTGTAGTTTTTTCCTTTCTAATGCTTTTATTAATTACATATTGATAATTTTTTTTTTCCTGTTGTGAGATTATTGAGAGGAAATTTCTACGAGGAGAGATCTGTACCACACTAGTGTTGTGTGATTTGAATGAATCTAGGAATGATGTGTTGTCATAATTACCCAAGTTCAACGAGAAGAAGAAAGATCCTGCTTATGTCAATGGAGTTGAAGAAAGATTAAAGGCTGCAATTGCTGAGAAGAAGAAGAGAGAAACAGAAGAAAGAAAAATGGCAGCAGAAGCAGCAGCAAAGGCAGAGGCAGAAGAAGAAAAGACCAAAGGAAAAAGGTCAAAAAAACAGGCAAAAAAGTTTACTCCTTCTAAATAGTGAAATAATTGATAGTTATTAGCTGATTAGGTCAGGGGTTTTTCTTAACAATGAAAAAACTTAATGTATGTGCATACATTAAGTTCAATGATGTAATTAAACTTAGTGTAAAGTCTTTGGTTGTTTTTTTGGAATACTGATGTATGTGCATACATAAAGTAATTAAAAGGTTTATTTTTATGTTTTTTATGGGGTAACTTTTATGAAGATAAATGATAACTTTTATTTATAGAAAAGGTAACTTTAAGCAAGAAAATGGTAGATTTAATTGTTAGAAAGGGTAACTTTAGCTATGAAAATGGTCACTTTTATGTAGAAAAAGGATCACTTCTATTCATGAAAAAGTTCACTTTTATGTAAATAGTTTATTATGTGAAAAGGGCCACTTTTTCTGTAAATTAAAAGGGTCACTTTTTTCTGTTAAAAGGGTCACTTTTTTCTTGGAAAAGGCTCATTTTTTTTTAAAAGGGTCACTCTTGATTTAAACGTTTAACTAAATAAAGATATGCTAATAATAGTATTAATCACATTTTCATTAAACTAGTCACATAGTAAAAAAAATATATAGTTTTAGAATACAAAGTACATTAATTTTGAAAAAAAAATGATCTAAAAAAGTTCCTAAAAGAGTCTCAAATTAGGTGTTTTAGATCCAAATTTTGAATGTGGAGGTGGCAGTGCTGGTTTTCTTTTTCTCTTGCTTTTTTCAAGACCTCCTTTTGCTCTCTTGCTTCTTCCTTTTGTTACAGCCCTTTGTGGATCAAGTATTGTTGGTACACTTGTGCTTGTACTCGATGCCAAAGAAACATCATCATTGCCGTGATTGCTGTCTGCCACATCAGGAATATTAGAAGCAGCTTCTGCACTTTCTCTCTGGGTAGCAATAGCAAGTAAGTCTTCCACCATTTTAAGACTGTTTCTGAAACTTTATTCCATAAATTCTCTTGTTTCTTCATTTTCTTGACTCTTTAAGATTAGATTGTAGTATTTCCTTATCATTGTTTGTCTCCATGGAATATATTGATGTGTAGGATCCTGATTCTTCAACCTATCCCATGCCTCTGTTTTTTCAAACTTAGCCATCTTTTTGAAACATACTTGTCTGGTATTCTTGTTACTGAATGCAAGTGTAGAATTCTGATGCAATGATAACATAACCATCCAGATGCTTCAAAATTTTTGCAAGTACACCGTACATTCTGGCTCTCATGTATATCGTTTACTTGATGTGCAGACCATGGCTTGTCTTCCAGGGCTACCTGATAAAGTAGACATTCTTCATTTCTTCCTATCATTTGAACAGTTGTTGCCATAGAGTATCCAAACTCCTCTTTAAAATCTCTAAAGAGTGACAAAGTGAAAACCTGTTCACCAAAATCATTTAGCTACATTTAAACTGCTATAATTTATTTGTAATTTATGTACTTATCAGTTAACTTTTTACCTGTGCAGCATGTTTTAACATTCCAGATAGTGGCAATGAAGTGAATGATATTGACTTGCTGTAGGTAAATTCATCATATTTCTCTGTGCTTCTCCAATGATTGATTATTTTCTTAAATATGGTATAAAATTATGTCAAGGTAGTTGCTTTACTTGCTCTGAATCCTATTACATGATTAGTGCTTTCACTCCTTTGTGACAATAAGATTCCTGCTGAAAAGAAATATCTACTAAGGGCAGGACACCGTTTCTCTTTCAACTCGTACACTCTTTGGTACCAAGAGTGTGCTGTCAACTCATATTTCTGCATCATTGCTTGCCATTTTGCTTCAAATTCTTGTTTTGTCACACACATCTTTAAGCACTGGTTGAATGCATACTTGAATTCTTTGTCTTTTTTAAGAGCTCCAAATCTGGTTATGGCATTTTGTTCCAAATGCCAGATACAAAGTCTATGCCTTGTATTAGGAAGCACCTACATTGAAAATAAAGGGGTCACTTTATGCTATTAAAAGGGTCACTTTATGCTGTTAAAAGGGTAACTTTATGCAATTAAAAGGGTAACTTTATGGGATAAAGGAAAACATTATTGTAAGAGTTTAAAATCTATAAAATGTAAATATAAATCTTTTACCTGCTCAATTGCATTTGCCATTGCTTGGTCCTGATCAGTGAATATTGAAGTTGGTGTTCTATTCTCCATAGCTTTTAAGAATGTTTCTAGTAGCCACACAAATGAATCTGTTTTTTCATCCTCAATAAAACCACATGCAAACATACAATTATGCCAGTGATTATTTATTCCAACAAATGGAGCACATATAAGAATATATCTGTTGGTTCTGTATGTTGTATCAAAGACAAGCACATCTCCATATATCCTATAGTCTTTTAGCATCATTAAATCTCTCCAAAAGATATTGGAAATTCTTCCTTCCTTTTCTAACTTCACTTTAAAAAAGAAGTTTAGATCCTTTGATTGTTCCTGATTTAAAATGTTCACTAAAGTTTGAGCATCTCCAGCCTCAATTTGTTCCATTCTTAACCTTGAGCAAAAATTCAGGTGATCTACAACACTATGACCTACATTCTGTTCTCCTCCAGCCTCTGTAGCCATATAATTGTAAGTGTCCATTGTAGTTAGACCTGAAGATTTCATTGTTTTTATTGCTTCAGCTTTTTCTTCTGTCATTTTTCTTTCAGAACGATGCAAATAATGCTACTGTGACCTTGTTAGCTCATGGTTATGCTGAATAACATGAGCAACTACCTCAAACTTTCCTTCTTTATTCACTTTTGCTCTTATGCATGCCTTGAAATTCGATCTTGTAATGGCTACTTGTCTTGGCTTCTTGTTTTTACATTCACATCCTCTTCATTAACCATTTCAACTAACTTTGTTTTCTTGTAACCTGAATTTCTCTTTCCTTCAGCAGAACACACATAATTTTTCTCAGTTACTATTTTTGTGTGTGTCTGGTATCTATTTGTATGTTTTCGTATTGAAAACCTCAGTATAGCAGCATGTTTTTCATACAATTCCACACCAAAAAATGAACCTCTAAGATCTAAACCAGAAGCATGAATTGGATTTGTATCTGTGATTTAATACAGATATATCAGATTATAACCAGAGGCAGCATATCATTCAATTTAGAGGAAACAAAATGGTATCATTTTTTCGAAAATAGGGTCACTTTTATGCATGAAAAGGGTAACATTAAGGCATACAAAGGGTTACTTTTTGCATACAATCTGAATTTTCTGCATACAATCTTAGGGTAACATTTGTGCATAAATAGGTTCACTTTTATGCATGAAAAGGGTAACTTTAAGGCATTCAAAGGGTTACTTTTCTGCATACAATCTTAAGGAAACATTTGTGCATAAATAGGGTCACTTTTATGCATGAAAAGTGTAACTTTAAGGCATACAAAGGGTTACTTTTTGCATACAATCTGAAATGTTTATAGAAATTACCTTCAGTTGCATTTGATTTGGTTGTTTGTTCTGAATTTGAATCAATTGATTTGCCAGGAACCACTTGATTTTCTGCATTCTCAATTGTTTCTTCTACATTCTCAATTGCTTCTTCTGCATTGTTAATTACTTCTTCTGCATCGTCTCCATTGTTTGGATTGTTGAATATTGGTACGAATTCATTTCCAAAACTCTTAGTTTCTTCTTCTTCTATAATCGATCGATTTAAACCGATTTCAAATTCAGTTTCAATTTGCCTCTGTTTTTGTAGCAATTCGTGGATGAGATTGCTACAATTTGTGGTATCGAAAGTCGATTTTTCCATTGATGATCGAATTCTCCAATTAGTGCGTTTTCTCACTTTCTCTCTTCTCAACTGATGATTGAATTCCGCAATTTGTAAGTTTTCTCACTTTCTCTGCCTTAATTGATGATCGAAATTTTCAATTTTTGCGTTTTTTCACCTTTTTTCTTCTCAGTTGATGATCGATTTCTACAATTTTTGCGTTTTCTCACTTTCTTTCTCCTCAGTTGATGATCAAGAGCTGCGTTTTCTCACTTTCTCTCTCCTCTATTGTTGTTCTGCTTTTTTTTTTATTTTTTTTTATTTTGAGGTATTAAGTTTCGCGATTTTTTTTTTAAAAACCTCGTAAATGTGTGGCACGTGCAAACAGTCCGATGTACAGTAAAAATATTGTACACCGGGTGCATGCAAAATGGATTGATCTAGCAATATGATATTTAAAAACAATTGACTATTTTATATAAATATATATATAGAAATTTATAATCAATGCTAATCGATTTAGTGTAAAAATTCAAACAAACGTGTCAATTATTCAGAAACTACGATAGTATATAGTATTATATATTTTTTTAATCAGCATTTTTGGTAGATCTTCTGTTGTAGAGTTACCAAATTTTATATGAGGAAGTCCCAGTTTATCTCCTTAATAAACAAAATTTGTTTTTTTTTTTAATAGCAAAGATATTTCATTAATTAAAAGTCATACGACATCTACAATAGAGATTCGACGTTAACAAATACATAAGATATTGAATCAAATAGAATTTTCCTTCATAAAAACTACGATTGTCGAGTAGATCTTGCACTGCGGAGCATCTCCCGCTTATATCGCTGAAAATTACAGTCTTGTTGGAGAGACAATCTAACGATCCTTTGTAGCCGTGAGGATGTTTTCCTTCTGATTTATCTGTTCGTATTCGAAAACTTGATAACTTTTTCACCTACGAAATAATTTCATGACAATCCATTAGATCTGCTACTGTGGATTCAAAACTAAGAAATTTCTCCCTCAAAAAGAGGAGATAAACCTTGTCTTTCGAAGGAGGTCGAAAAATCCTTGTCTTTCGAAGGAGATCGGAAACCCTTTCTTTCGAGGGAGAAAATTTCCTCCCAAAAGGAGGAAGCATTATTATAAACCTAGAAAACAATAAAGAAACAAGGATTGGAGCTTTCCACCGATTAAAATCGATGGAAGCCCCTTCAAAAATCAACAATGGAGGCTAGGGTTTTGGAGAGAGAAAGGAGGAGAGAGGTAAAGCTATATAAAGTTAATATAAACAAATTTTGTTTGTTAAGCGGCAAAATTGTAATTAATTAAATAAGCAATTTTGTCTAGTCAGCATGGCATTTTGGTAAATAAATCAAAATTAATGGGACCCAAATATGACAAAAAAATTGTTGAACATTTTGTTATTTTGTCTAGTCATCATGACCTTTTGGTAAATAAATAAACAATAACTGCGGGACGTGTATATGACAAAAAGTTGATTTATTTACAGTTTTGCTATTTTATAAATATTTTTTGTTTATCTAGGAGATAAAAATTTATTTTCTCATTTTATATGCAATATTATAATCTTAATTAGTTTTTCATTTTATTTCCTTCGTATAGCTGTACATGAACCATTTTGATACTTAGTACTTTTCATATACTTGTTCAATTCACCATAAAAAATAACATTCAGTAAAATTAATTCCAGTTCAATAAAAATAAGTTCAGTTTAGTAAAAATAAGTTCAGTTTAGTAAAAATAATTTTAGTTCAGAAAAATTTATTTCAGTTTAGTAAAAATCAGTAAGTCTAAAGAAGAAATATATTAGAATCAATAAAAATTTAGTTCAGCAAAATTAATTTCAATTGAGTAAAAATATTTTTAGTTTAGTGAAAATAATTTAACTTCAGGAAAATAATTTCAATTCAGTTTAATTAATATCAGTTCAGCAATATTAAGGTGAAGTGAAAGGGGTCTAACTTTATTAATTACATGTATGAATAAATGTTATAACTTAGTTTTTAACTGTTTTGGTTTAATTTCATTGTATATATATATATATATATTCTAGAAAATCTTTTTTATTATTATTATATTTTTCATCATGTAATAAAAGTACTTAATAATGGTAAAATATGAATAGTGGCAAACTTAGGGCCTGTTCTCATACGTTGAAATTCAGTTCAGTTTAGTTTAGCCCAGTTTAGTTCAATTCATTTCTTGTCTAATGATATTGCTAATGATATAAAGCCAAATTTCATTCTTTTAAGCGCTTATTATAACGAAGATAATAATAATAATAACAATAATAATAATCAGTAAATGATAATAATAATCAATAAATAATAATAATAATCAATAAATAATAATAATCATAATAATAATCACTAAATAATAATAATAAATAATAAATAATAAATAATAAATAATAATAATAATAATAATAATAATAATAATAATAATAATAATCAACAAATAATAATAATAATAATAATCAATAAATAATAATAATAATAATCAATAAATAATAATAATAATAATCAATAAATAATAATAATAATAATAATTATAATAATAATAATAATAATATAATAGTGTATTTTTCTTAAATATTTTAATATGCATATTTATATATACACATATGTATAATAATAAATAATCAAATATCACTAATCCGTAGTTAAAAATCACTAATTAATATGTTTAGTTCAGTTCAATTCAGTTCAGCTCAGTTCAGTTCAGCTCAGCTCAGTTCAGTTCAGTTCAGTGCGGCTCAGTTCAGTTCAGTTCAGCTCAGCTGAGTTCAGTCAATGAAATTCAGTTCAATTCAGCTGAGTTCAATAAATGAAAATAGGCCCTTAATTAATACATTAAAGTCCAAAAGGCCCAAGGCATGACTTAATTACCAATGTTGTCGAGCTAAAAAAGCATGGTAAAAATGATTCACTAATTCATCATTTTAGGACCACAAATAAATTTATGTGAAGTATACGTGGAATTGTAATTTGTAATTATATCTTGATATATTAAACTTTTAATTTGGATATGGATTGATATATTACATCATAAGATTATCCGATTGAATTTCACATAATCATGCATATATTCTTCAAGACCATTAGTCCATATGTTCAAAAAGTGATAAAATCAATGTCATTCATGCGGTGGTTTAACTTTCAATTAAAATTTTAGGTATATTTATGGAACTTATTCTTCTTACGTACGTGTGTGGATCATAGGTGCACCCCAGTAATACAATTGATGTTAACCTTGTGGCTTTAAAGTGCTATCAAAGTTGTATACTTCTCATTGGTCCCATGCATTTTTAAACTTATGTTCATCACATCATTTGTGGTTTCAAACTAGAGACATAAAGGTTTTTTTGTTTAGTGTGTCGATACAAACTCACTAATAATCTTGGGTGCGAATGTTTATTGTTGATATATCACTCTTTATATTGAAATGTACTCAGCATTTAATTTAGGAAGAAGATGATATATTACCAGGGGCGGAGCTAGGGTGATACAAGTGGGGACAACTGTCCCCTCACTTTTAAAAAAATAAATAAATAAAATTTTTTTGCTTAATCATATATGAGTTTAAATGCATGCATAGAATAGAGACAAAATCTAGACAGCGCAATGGTAAAGTCTCACTTATTTGTCTCACCTTCAAATGACGAGAGATCAAACCCAGCTAGGCGGCTATTTAATTTTTAGCCTTTACATTTAGCTTTTGACCTTTTTTTCTTTTCTTTAATTATACTAAGTTGTAGGGAATATTTCAAGCGTTAATTCCCTAGCTTGAACCCCAATGTGATCATACACTAAAGTACGGTGGCGTCCAAAGGGAAAGAACATAGAGCAAAAGAGTCACCAACAAGTTTTTTTAATGAACTTGTAAACCGTTCACG